CGGGGAGACAACAGGTAGACCTGACAAAATGGGCCTTTCAAGGCTGGCTTTCCCCACAGGAAAGACAAAAAAGCACGGCATCAGTTCTAATGCCCAGCTGCCCCTCTGAGGAGAAGACTGTTTAAAAAAGAAAGGCGAAGCCTGGGTAAGCAGTCGGTTAGCGTCGACTTCAGCCAGATTCCGCGATCTCATGATCCGTGAGTTCCGGGCTTGTGGTCGAACTCTGGGCTGATGGCTGCGGAGCCTGAGCCTTCATTTCGATTCTCCTCTCTCTCTGCCCCTCCCCCGTTCGTACTCCTGTCTCTGTCCCAAAATAAATAGCGTTGAAAAAAAAATTAAAAAAAAAAAAATAAATAAACCTACCTCCCGATATCTAAAAGATGTGTGGGCGCTTTGCATGCAGAGGGGTATCACCTTCGTGGTGATGCCGAGGGGAGTCCATACCCTTGGTCAGAAGAAAAAAAGCCAGCTCAAAGTCCTCGTGTTTCCAGGCACAACACAAGCGTGTCTCCTGCCTGTCTGGAGACCCTCGGGCAAGGCTGAGGAGGCAGAAGGACGCCGATGAGCTGCATCCCTGTGGCCGGTACAGCCCACCTTAGCTCACGGGAGGAGGAGGCCCCCTTCGCCGCCTCTCATCAGTGGACTGATAGAGCCGACTTCTGAGCCCCTCTTACCCCTCCCTTCTGGGGCCGAGAGGCTCCCAAATCCTAATTGAGAAGCCCAATCCGGGCGTGCAGCTCCCCTTTCGTCTGCTCCCCTCACATCTTCCGGCTTTTCTACCTGCCGGGGGAGGCGGGGACAGGGCCCGTGAATTTCTTGAAAATCCGGGCCCCTGCCTGCCGACCCTACCTGACACACAGCGGTGATCAGGTGATGTCTGGTGTAGCTTGCCGCATCTTTTAATCTGCAAGCTTCTTCTTGAGGATGCTTCTGCCCTCCCGTGCCGTCTTCCGTGACACCTCACACAACGACTTTCCTTCTGGCCCGTCCACCCTCTGCGCGCATGAACTTCTGCGACCCCTCCACACGGCTACACTCACGCTGCGCCCCGGCGGCCACATTCACTCCGTCGCCCTTGCCCCCCAGAACCCGGAGATTCCCGGGGGCTTCCTAAGTGATGCTTCGCTGACTGGGCACAAATCAGCCGGCCAGGGGTCCAGGCAAAGGCTGAAGTAGCAGCTCTGCTCGAGGAAAGGGTTTAAAGACATTAAACTACGGGAGGCATTCTATCACCTCCCGGAAAATGTGGGTACAGCCAACGCCTGCAGGCTTTGTGTGTGGCACTGAGAGCTGGACCTTCCCCATAAACAGCCAAGCAGCAAAACCACACAGCAGTCTTCCAGAACCTGTATTCAAAACACAAGAATAGGGGGCTGGTATCATTCTCATTTTATAAAGAAGGACATGAAGGCAGAAATAGCATGCCCAAAGCCACAATCAGTGATGATGGCATTGAGGGGGGAGCCAGGGGAGGGTGAGATGGGGAAAGAGGAAGTGGGCTGGTGCTCCCAAATTAGTTTAAATAAACCCAATCGGAGCCCACCTGGGTGGCTCAGTCAGTTGAACGTCCGACTTCCGGCTCTGAATAAATAAAGGCCTACCTCTGATATCTAAAAAGATGTGGAGCGCTGCATGCAGAGGGGTATCACCTTCCGTGAGGGTGATGCCGCGGGGGTCCGCACCCTTGGTCAAGAGAAGAAAAGCCAGCTCAAAGTCCTCGTGTTTCAGGCACAACACAAGCGGTGTCTCCTGCCTGTCCTGGAGACCCTCGGGCAAGGCTGAGGAGGCAGAAGAGAAGGACACCCGTGAGCTGCATCCCTGTGACGGGGTACAGCCTGGCTCACCGGAGGAGGAGGGGCCCCCTTCCGCCACTTACTCCGAGAGCGGACGCCGACCCGGCTTCTGAGCCCCTCTTACCACCATCCCTTCTGGGAGGCGAAGGCTCCCAGAGCCCTCTGGGTGAAAGCCCAAGTCCGCGGGCCGTGCCGCTCCCCACTCGTCTGCTCCCCCTCACATCTTCAGCACTGCCCGGGAGCGGGGACAGGGCCCGTGAGCAACGCAAATCCCGGGGCCTGCCTGCCGCCCTACCTGACACACAGCGGTGATCAGGTGATACGAGTATGGCTTGCCCGCATCTTTTGCGTCTACCAAGCTTCTTCTTGAGGATGCCCTTCTACCCTCAAATGCCATCTTCCGTGACACCTCTCCACCCCCAACATCGGCTTCCTTCTAGCCCCGTCCACACCCCCTCTGCACCGCAGGCTGCCGACCTCCAC